AAGGTACAAAATGTAGGAGAGTGATAATGTAGAAGTGTGAGAAACAGTGACCAATATTCCTGGAGAAAGAAATGTTTTGACTAGGGTCTGGAAGGTGAAGGCCAGATGATGAAAGGGGCCAGATGGTATAACAGCCAAGAGAAAAGGTGGGAGTATAAAAATAGTTGGCAAGCAGTCTGTGAGGCTACAATAAAATGCTAAAAAAAAAAAAAGCCGAGACCAGATCAATGTGGGCTCTGAAGGTCCTTCCAGAATGTATAGGTTTATTCTGTAGGCGAATGAGAACTTTTACAGTTTTTAAGCAGGTGAGTTACAATCAGATCTTTAATACTTCATGTCATTCTGACTTACTATGTAAATATCTAGCTCATCTTAATGAATAGTGCTACTTTAAAAAATCACAAATTTGACCTTGTGTGTTAAAATTCTGCTGCCAGAAAGAAAAGATGTATTTTAGAATGTGATTTCCTCTTTGATCTTTTTTCCTTCATCCCTGCGATTTTTGTCGTTGTTGTTACTTACAGGACTTGTTTTCTCTTTTCTTTCCTCCTTTGACTTTGGTTCTGTCATTTTCCTTTCCATTAAAAGTAGCATGAAACTTCCAAGATTCCTTGAATATTGCCAAAAGGCTGGGGCTTCATCTTGCAATTATGTCCTGGACATCACTGTCTTCGTGATTTGTAGGATGAAAATCTGTATAGCTTTCCATGAATATCTTCACAGTCTATATAACATTTCAATGCATACATTAGTCTTATAATTAGGAATAGCAAAAAAAAAAATTCCTAAAATGTCTTCTTACAGTTAATGTGGTAGTATTCAACATTCGTTCTGACATTAACACCATGTCAAAAACTTTACAAATTTGAGTAAGGCACAGTCTGTAAAATTGTGGAATCGAATTTAAATTTCTTTTCTCTACTAGCCTCAAACAATTTTATCAATTTAAGAGAATATGATGGAAAGAATAGATTTTTAGTTAATAAGTTTTTAGTAAACTCATCCTCTTCATGTAGGTTAATAAGAAAATTGGCTTATCTGTTTTTGTTACCTAACTTTTGTGTGTTTTTTTCTAGTACAGAAAGAAATAGTTGCTGTATATTTCTTCCTGAGGCACACACTGTAAATATACTGTGAGTCAGGGAAAACACTGAAAAGTTCCAAGGTTGGCAAATCGTCATAGAAGGAAAAAGTCATCAGGAACATGAGACTCTAAAGAAACAGATGTAGGAATTATTTTTATAAGTTTTGTTACAGCATATTTTCCTCATTTTCTAGTTTTAGGAACTATGTAGGTATATGGATTGGGATGGTTCAGAAAAAAAGATGCCCCAGCTTTAGAAATTTTTAAGAATTCAAAAAACAATATTAATATGACAGTGTATTCAAATGTGACTTCAAAGGGATTAATTTATTATCAAGCCCTGCATAATTTGGCAGCATATAAAAATGTAGGTATGATGTCTGCTTTTATTAAGAAAAACTGAAACAATGTTGACAGCAAAAAAGAGTAAAATCATTTTAATGTTTCTACTTCAGTTTTTTTTTTTTTTAAGCAAGACAAGGTCGTGTTCTGTTGCCCAGGCAGTGGCCTGATCGTTGCTCACTGCAGCCTGAAACTCCTGGGGTCAATCAGTCCTCCTTCCTCAGTCTCCTGAGTAGCTAGGACTACAAGCATGTGCCACCACACCCAACTAATTTTTAAATTGTTTTAGAGAAGGGATCGCCCTAAGTTGCCCAGGCTGGTCTCAAACTCCTGGCCCCCAGGGTTCCTCCCATCTTGGCCTCCCAAGGAGACTTTTTTTCTTTCTAAAAACAGAGCCACGGCTTAGCTACTTCAGATGTTTTCATTGTTTATGGCTTGTTTCTGTTTCAGTTGAGGAGTTCTATTTTTCTTTAATTTACATATTAGACAAAATTAAATTGCTATGGAACTAAAATTTCTACATTATTTCTTCCCATATGTAATCACAGTTGTTTTATATAAAATCAAATAAAAAGATCAGCAGAAAATATAGTAGATATGAGAGTAATTTGATATGTATTTTTATTGTGAGGTTATCACTGACATATTATATACCAGAATGAATAATCAGAAATATATTAATTCAGGCCGAGTGCAGGTGACTCACCCATGTAATCCTAGCACATTGGGAGGCTGAGGCAGGTGGATCACTTGGGGTCAGGAGTTCAAGAGCAACCTGGCCAACATTGTGAAACTTCATCTTTACTAAAAATACAAAAATTATCTGGGTGTTGGTGGCATGCACCTGTAATTCCAGCTACTCGGGAGGCTGAGGCATGAGAATCCCTTGAATCCAGGAGGTGGAGGTTGCTGTGAGCTGCTCTCTTGCCACTGCGCTCCAGTCTGGGTGACAGAGTGAGGCTTTGTCTCAAACAAACAAACATATATATATATATATGTGTGTGTGTGTGTGTGTGTGTATATATATATATATATATATTTTTTTTTTTTTTTTGAGATAGAGTCTCACTGTCGCCAGGCTGGAGTGCAGTGTCATGATCCTGGCTCACTGCAACCTCTGCCTCCTGGGTTCAAGTGATTCTCCTCCCTCAGCCTCCTTAGTAGCTGGGACTACAGGCATGCACCACCATGCACAGCTAATTTTTGTATTTTTAACAGAGATGGGATTTCACCATGTTGGTCAGGATGGTCTTGATCTCTTGACCTTGTGATGTGCCCACCTCGGCCTCCCAAATTGCTGGGATTATAGGCATGAGCCACAGTGCCTGGACCAAGAAATATATTAATTCATATTAATTAATGTTAATTAATATCCATATTAACATGACTAACAGTATATAAATCATGTAAAATTATATTTCTATTTATATTTGTGTTAATATGAAAATTGCTCATAGTGTGATAAATACAAAATCATAAAGTAGAAAGGAGTCTTAGAATTTTTTAGTCTGTCTTTGAACCTACGCTAGGGACGAACTCCTTCCACAATAGCCCATCTCTACCTTTGCTAAATGCTTCTGTGCGGGAAGTCTTGCTACCTTATGATGCAATCCACAGCACAACATGCAAAAAATCTGCTTTTGAGCTAACAGCACCCATTTCTAGCTAGCAAAACATTGGGGGAAGAGTAGTAAAAGTCAGGGTAAAGATCCTAACTTGGCAAAACGCCTAGCCAAGGTGATTAAGCACCGATCCAGAGAGGAGAATTTTAAAAACCATGGACCACATTGCTTCTCAAGTCTCTGCCATCACCAGCTTCTTCCCCCTCCAGTTAGCTTACAGAAACTCTAAAATATGTTTAACAAAATATAGAGGACTCAAGTACCCTGCTTTTCCATATGTTCTACGATCAAGCTCACATATTAACTTGGATTTAAAATCTTTAGGTATTTTTGTATAGTGTCTGTTCAGTGTCTAATTAAAAACATTCTCAGCCAGGTGCAGTGGCTCATGCCTGTAATCCTAGCACTTTGGGAGGCAGAAGTGGGCAGATGGCCTGAGGTCAGGAGTTTGAGAAAAGCCTGACCAATATGGTAAAACCTCATCTCTACTTAAAATACAAAAATTAGCTGGGTGTGGTAGTGAGCACCTGTAATCCCTTGAGAGGCTGAGGCTGGAGAATCACTTGAACCCAGGAGGTGGAGGTTGCAGTGAGCAAAGATTGTGCCACTGCACTCCAGTCTGGGTGACAGAGTGAGACTCCACCTCAGAAAACAAAAAGTGTTCTCATTGCTATAGGAAGAGTTTAGTGCACTGGTTAAGACTGAGGTGCTGTAGTCAGATAATTGGTGTTTAAATCCTGCCTCTTTCAATTTCTAGCATGGCCTTGGAAATGTTATCTAACTTCCCTGTGCCTTACTTTCCTCATTTGTAAAATGGAATTAAAATAATACCTTATTATGAGGCCTCAGATTGATAATAAATGTGAACTATTTAGTAATTTGCCTGTATCATTGTAACCACTCCATAAATTTGGCTTTTATTGTGGAAGCTACACATTTCACCAACAGTTACTATATTAACAAGCAAAGATTTAAATATTCCATTTGTTGAGAGGCTTAACCACTTATTTTGTATATGTAGAGTCAATACGCTGCAGTGGACAATAAGAAAGCCACAGCAGTACGAACAGAAGAGCAAGAAAAAGATCTCTTCCTTACATTGGAAAATATTTCCTTCACCTGATTCCTAAAATGCCATGCCTCAAAAGCGACAGACGTTTATACCACAATTAGAGAGAAGTAGTTTAAAAGCACACATTCTAGATGTATGACAAAATATTAGAAATATTAGAAAATATTAGAAAAAACATTCTAGATTTATGACAAAATATTAAGGGTGGTCATATCCTTTACAGTTTTGAGAGAAGAGGGGGTAGAAAAGGAAAGTGGATATCCATGAAGAGGAAGGAGAAGGGGAGGCTGATAGCATAGAAGCAAGCTTTGTCCCCAGGTCTGTCCTATTTCCTTAATTATATTTCCTTAATTATAAATTCCTCAACTAGTTCAATTCATGGGGCCTGGGCAAATGTCTTTCTTAATGGGAAACAGGCCTGCAAGTATTTTGAGAGTCCTTATATACACTGCCCTGGTTTCCTCTTTTAGAAGCAGAGGGGAAAAATATATCTTGCTTTTGCTAACTAACATTTGTCATGCCACCCAATGAAGCCACACTTTTCTATTCTTCTCTCTCCAGTGGTCTTTATTTACTTATTTATTTATTTAGAGCTGGTGTGGGTGTGTGTGTGGGGTCTCACTATATTGCTCAGGCTGGTCTTGAACTCAAGGAATTTTCCCACCTCTGCCTCTGAGTATCTGTGACTACATGTTTGTGCCATCGCATCTGGCTCCTATGGCCTTTAAAAGTACCATAATCCCTGGCTACAGTTACCAATATCTGAAGTGTCTTTCGACTCTTATGGTAATCTTACACCATTGTATTGGTTCAGGTTTTCCTTCTTTACATGACGGACTCTTAATTGGTTTTGTGCTTTCATTTCTCCCTCTCCAGGTACCTCTAAATAATCTTCTGAAAATCCCACTCTACCATTTGACTTTCTGGCTTACAAATCTCCCATACTTCTCCATTACCTAATAAGGACAAAAATCAATTTCATTAGTATGTTTGAGAAGGTCATTTCTGAACCCTGCTTAGCCTAAGAGAGTCATCTGTTGCAACTTCTCCTCATCACTTGGATAGCAGCATTGAGATAACAGCTGTTCTCTATACACACCATGCTTTTTCATAGTGTTCTTGCTTAGAATGCTTTTTCTCTTTCTAACCTCCCTTTGATCTCTAAAGATGCTTCAGGACCCTTATAAAATGCGACTACTCCATGAAGATTTTTCTGACATTTCTAGGCAGAATAGTTCATTTTCTGTGCTCCAATAATTGTGTGTTCATGCATAAATTAATGTACTTCTCATAGAATGTTATAATTTTTTTAAAGTATCTTGTTCCTTCTGTATTATGAGTTTCAAGAAGGAATGGATAGAGTTTGTACCTCAAATACCAGGGCTTGGTTTGCCATAGGCACTCAAAAATGTTGATAGTTGAACAGCTTCTTTCCCAGGCTTCCCAGTCCTGCTGCCATCTAAGGAACACCTCAAACACAGTCTCCCCTCTACCCCATTTTTTTCCCACCTGGAGTGCTTTATTTTTCTTCCTGAAGACCTACAGAAATTTCTTTTGTTCTCTGATTTGGAATTTAAAAAAATATCTTTAAACAAGGTATTTTAAAAAATGATCTCCTTGTCTGTAAGTTGATGGAAGTGGAATCTGTGTCTTTATCCAGAGATGCCTGTATTCCCTGGATCAGTATCTTATACTCGTCAGATTCTCTGAAGGATGTTTCCTGAATGGAGGAGTTAAGTCAGGGAAATATAATCCTTAGTGCAAGTTCTGAAAAGACATAGGTGATAATATCCCTAGCTCCGCAACATTCCCCATAATGTTTGATTTATTTCACTGCAGTTTATGAGGGCTGCAATTTTAAGGGAGAATATACAGCTGTCAAATAAAAATGGTCAGCAATTCTCACAGTAGAAAGGATAGAGTTAATCATTTCTTTCTGCTTTAAACTTTCTTAAAGTTGATGAGATATTGACAATGATCAAGACATTATATTGTCTTTTTAGTTCTATGGATTTCCAGTAAATTCTCTTAAGCTTTTCTATGTATATAGTCATAAGCTCTGTAATCAATTATAATTTGGTGTCTTATTTTCAACATTTAGAACTCACATTTCTAAACTCATATTTCATTTCTGATAATTTATTCTTTCTAGTTAATTATGTGATAGCTCATAATTCCTTGCTTTTTTATTTTAATGGCATAGAAATTATAATTACAGTGTCTTCAAGCTCCCTTATCCCCCTGATAAGAAGATGCAGATGATGAAAAATTGGATTGAGGACAAGGAAGAAGGTAATTTAGGTAGTCATATCCTTTTATAGTTTTGAAAAAAGGGAGGTGGAAAAAGGGAAGGGGTGGGAGTGAGGGTGTCAGGGAAGACATGGGCTGAGAGTAAAATGAATGGATTCTATCTTGGAATTCTTGGGGCAAGAAGATGAGTACTGGCACTGGGACTGGAACAGTGGTTGAATAAGGAATGTCAGATGATGCCAATGACTAAATTCACCTGTTTTGGAAATTTTCTTTCACATACCTTTCTTCTTCCAGTTTGGCATCAGAAATCACAATGCAGGGGCACAAAGATCTTTGTGGAGACCCTAGCATTGCTTTTATAGGAAAAACATGTCCACATTTTCATACACTCATCAATAAACATTGGGGGCACCGCCTGCTCTAAGTGCAAGCTGCATAACATAAATGTATACACAAATGAATTTTTTTATTGATAATTGCAAAAAGATTACATTTAATGTTTAACTGAAAAAGATTTAATAGAAACAACTTAAGAAAAAGGACAAGTTGAAAGAAAATAGGCTGTGAATTGAATAAAGAATAGAAATAGATATGAAGAAAGCTACGTCACAGTGAAACAGTGTTACAAAAAAGGCTTAGATCACACACTTGGTGGACTAGAGAGGGATTGTCAATATGTTGGAAGAAGAAAAAAGTTTTACAAAAGGAGAAAATAAGTAATGCTGGAGAGTGGGAGCTGAAAGCTATTGAAAGGAAAAGAGTATTTGGAATTCACTAGATATCTCCCTGGGAAAGAGAGTTAGCAAAATGGCTGATTTTAAACAGGTTAATTATTCTCCCCAAATCTTCTGACTGTGAACCAGCTTACTTTGTATTTACCCACTTAGAAAGTGTTTCAGCACTCAGACTTCGCAAGGAGACCACAAAGTATAAGACGTTACACGCTTTTCCAAAAGAAACACGACTAACTGTAAACTGTCATCAAATACAAATGGAATGGGTTTTCTCTCTCCCCCTTTTTTTTTTTGGTTGTTGTTAGTTTTCGTTGAACGGTTTCAAAAATATGTAGAAGGGAAATATTTCATTTCCCTTGGAGGCTCAACTATATATATTTCAAGATTCTTAAAACTGCCACTTCAAAGTGCGGGCATAATTTTGATGTGTTCATATTTTAGGAGGTGTGTCAACGTTTTATGAATTTCTGAAGAGTGTCTATGGCCCTGAAAAGTTTAAATCCACATTATATCATCTCTGTGAGCCCCTTCCAGCTCTCAAGGTACAATAATTACACGAATCTTTGTTCTTCAAACCAAGAGGTTTTCTGGAAACCCTGTTAAACATAACCAGGACAGCACCCAAGATGGAAATCTTGGGGATGCTCTGAGCAGCGGACGGGACTTGGGAAGCGCACCCCTCGACCCCGGCTGTCTCCATCCCGCACCCAACAGCTCCCCAAGTCCGCTCAGCGCTCCGCACACAGGCGGTGGCGCTGGGGCCGCTCCAAGTGCGTTGAGAAGTGTAATCCCTCCGCTAAGTACTTGGCTCTCAGTCTCCAATCACTAGTGGGAGCTGGAGAGGGCAAGTGAAAAAAAAAAATTCCTGAGGCAGCCGAGGAGCGAGAGGAAAAAAAAAGTCCCGCGGTGGTGGCGGCGGCGGCGGCGGAGCGGCCGCGGCGGCCAGAAGTTGACGGCGCGGCAGGGCGCGGGGCGCGGAGTCGGCGGGGCTTCGCGGGGCGCCGGGCAGAGCGGAGACCGCGGCGCCGAGGACGCCGGAGCCGGGAGCGCAGCCGCGGGTGAGGCGCGCGCGGCGGGGCCCCGTGCCTTGCGGGTGGCCCAGTTCTGAGAGCGCGGGGGCCGGCCGAGCCGGCCAGAGAGCCGGTCAGACCGAGGGGCGGCGCGGGACGGGCAGCGGCCGGGAGCGGGGCTGGGCGGCGGTCGCCCCGGGCAGGACAGAGCGCGCGAGGGCGAGGGCGGGCTGCGCGGCCGGGGCGGCGGGGTCGGGCGGGGGCCGCCTCGGCTTTGTGCGCGGGCGGCTCTGCCGGGACCCCGAGGCCTCGTGCCCGCGCAGGCGAGCGGCGGCGGCGGGCGGGACACGTGCTCCGGAGCTGGGGCATGAGGGACGCGCCGAGGCTGGGAGTCGGACCTGCGAGCGGAGGGATGGGGCGGGAGGGCTAGCTGAGGGCAGTCGCGAAATCCGGGAAATAGGAGGGAGTCCGGCGGGCGGCGGGGCGGGGGCCCAGGGCCAGCCCAGGCGGGACCTGCGGGCACCCAGCCCTGGGCCGAGCCACCTGCCCCGGACGCCTCCCGAGACCCAGCTTTGCGGCGGGGTAAAGTGCGCAGTGGGCTGGTCCCGGTCTCTCGGACCGGGCTCTGTCTCGGCCGCTGTTACCTGCCTCCCCCCGCCCACGCTTGTCTGTCTGTCTCAAGTTCTGGGTCTTTCATTCTCCCCCACTTCCTCCTCTCTGCCTTCCTCTCATTATTGCTATCCTTTGCCTCTCCCCGCGGTCTCCCTTTCCTTCTATGTGTCTGTCTCCCTCTCCCCACCGCCTGCTCTGGCTCTCCCAGTGTGTCCCTCGTCTGTCCCCACATCCTCTTCACTCTGTCACTCTCCCACACTTTGCTGATGTCTCTTTCGTAAGAAGCTTTCTGCTACCGATCTCCCCGGCTCCCCGTCTCTTGCTCTCTGCGCCCATCTCTCTGCTCATCCCTCTTTCTGTCCGGGCTCCGAGTCTCCGCCTGTCTTTTGCGGTGTTGGAGAAGAGCCTCTCCGCTGCGGTGCGGGTCGTGCTCCGTCAGAGCTGCACCCCTCCAGCGGGGTCCTGCTGTTTGTTCTAAGTGCAAACGCTGCAGTTTCCTTATTAGGAACTGCTCTTTACTTAGCCACCTTTCCACCAAGGTGAGGTCTGTGACCACGAGCGGGCACAAAGGTGCCAGTGAAAGAAATCGGCGGAAGAGAGCCGTTTCATTGTCTCCAACAGATAATATATTAATGCTAAACCTAGCTGCAGTGAAGCAGAGCCACCTGAGAAACGGTTCCCGAGTTCTGCAGCGAAACCATAGAAGGCTCCACTGGAAGCGAGAGGGTTCAGCTGAAAAGTGTTTGAAAATAATTTGAGAAAGCACTTAGTGGAAATCTCTTGGCTGTGCGAAATTGATGCCAACGAATCTCTGTTTTCTTACATATATTTTTAGGATTCCAGTGACAACTCTCCTAATTATTGTTTTGGGAAAGTTATGGGAAATGTCCTGTGTCAACTGGGACGTTTGCATGTAAGGAAATATTCAGTCTTTGTACTTTATACCTCTTTACACTCTGGTGATCAAGAAGAATTATTTCTAACTGTAAAGAAAATAGTAAAGGATTTGTCAGTAATTTTAAAACATGACACATTCCAGGGATCAATAATGTTTTTGGAAAACTTTCATTATAAGGATGTTTTGAAGGATATTACATCTTAGTGAAATATGTAAGTTATTACACACTTAGATCATTGTGCCACACAAAAAAGTTTGTGTGTTGTAAGCAGATCATAGTAGTGATGTCTTTTTTATGGGAAACATAGCTGGGAAATTAATTGCTCTGATTTTCACTGTTTTCTTTAGTCATGCATAATGTACCTTTGTGTTTGGCAAAATATGGCCTAGAGCTACAAAACTTGATACAGTGTGTTATTTGTCCAATCTGAATTACCATTTCGAAAAACCACCTTTTCTTTTCAGTTACATGATATAAGTTGATATGATCTCATTACTCATGTGCTAGAGGCCGCTGATGAATTTTAATGGCACTGATTTGTGTTTTTAAATCAAAATGTTAGTTTTTGGTGAGTTAAAGTCTTGATTTATGTCATGTTAGTGAATCATCACTATTTATAGGGGCTTTGCCACCTTGTCTGCCAGGTGCTGCCCAGCATTTAGGCCAGGTTGTCTAAAATTCCCTGTTAGGTTATTGTCCCTGAGTGACGTGCTGCCATGGCCTGCTAATGTATGTTTCTCAAAATGTTCCAGTCATTAAATAGTATTTATTAAAAGGAAATTGACTTAAATTTTTCCTCATAAGCTTTGGGAACTCTGTGAGATGGCTTGATAAAGTATTTTTATTGCAGTAAATGCTGATTTATTATTATTTGTTTAAAAGTATAAGGCAGTTTAAAAAGTGCTTATCTTTTGGCACATATAGCACCTCCTCCAGCTGTTTCTGAGCACTCAACTCGTATTTATCATCCAAATCCAAAGTCGGTTGTCACCTACTCCAACCTAGCAGAGCCTTCCAGACTTTCAGAAGCCCCTTTACCTCTGCCTCTCTGGCTTCTGAGTGCCCCTCTTTTGGTGTCCACCTCGGTGCTATATGATTACTTGCTTGGAGCTTCCTTGTTCGACTGTTATCTCATTGAGGTGAGATAGTGTCCCTTCTTTTTCTCTGGATTTCAGATGCCCAGCAGAGTACCTGGTATATGATAGATACTCAAGAAATCCTTGTAGGACTATTGATTCTTTTCCAAATTGCCTCTAACTTCTGATACTGATTCTTCGTAGATGCAGTTGCTCAAGAGAAATACTTTAGAATAGTGTGATGGCAGATCGTAGACTTCGGATTGAAAAAGTCTTAGCATGACATCACACACATTAATAATATTGAAGATGAAGAAGATGAGGCCCAGAGAGTTTGAAATCCATGCTCAGAAATAGAAAGTGAGGCTAGAATGGCTGTGGAATCAAGACTTTGCTTTCTTTCACAGTGCCACAGTTCTTTTCATTGGACTCTTGTTTGACTTCTTTCACTAGAAGTGGGTAAATATGGCTATAATTAGAAGCTGGCAGTTATACTCTAAACTCTGAAGATTTCTTTTCATGTCACCCTATAGAAGCCATGCATGAAATTTATCACTTTGCAATGACTGATAATCGTTTCTGATGCATATAAGCATCAAGGTAATACTGATCTTTTAGAACCTTGACTCCTAAGTTGTTTTTATGTGCTAAGCATTGTTCTGTGTGATAACTGTGTTGGGCAGAATTATTATTTCTTACCTGCAAAGAACATTTAAGCTCTCTGGACTTACATTTTCTGCTCTGTAATTCTATGTGTGCATGCGTGTATGTGTGTGTGTGTGTGTGTGTAAGGGAGAAGTTTGGACCACATTAGTAGTTCTTTTTGAAGTTTTCTTCAGAGACTACCAGTTTAACTCCCAGAACAACTGCAAATTCATCTGTTTTACATATCAGACTTCTGGGTAAGCTTTTGTTTTTAAAAAGTCTAACACAGCTTTAAAAAAGCTTGAAGACCACTTGTTGTCCTCCAGTCTCTCTTCCAGTTCTTGAATTTCATAATTAAGATATTTCTAGCTTTTAAATTCGGGTATTTGGAGGATGGTTGGTAAAAGTATTAAGGACAGAAGGAAAAACTGATTTTGGCTCAGAGATGCTATTAATAATTTCAGGTTTCCATATGCTGAATTTTATGTGATGGCAGAAAGTAAAGTAGAATTGTTGAGATATGTAGAGGCAGGCCAGAATTCAGAGAAAAGGAGGGGTTGGGGCTAGAAAGGTAGATTAAAAAGTCACATATATTGAATTAATAGTTTAAATTGAGTGAAAATAAAACATTTTAGGGCTAGAATACAGAGAGAGAAATAAGCCAAGATTTAGTGGACAAAAAGAACATTTTGTTATGGGTATTTATGGGGCTCATCACAGTAAGAAAGGATAATGTATAATTTATGTCAGGCAATAATTTTACGATGTTTAGGACATCCACTTACATGCCAATGTTTTAATCTCATTCATTTTTACTTCAATGTGTGAGTGCCTGCTCTTTGCATGGCACTGTTATACACTGTGGGGACACTGCCACTCTAAGAGACACAGGATCCTTGCTGTCATTGAACTTCTAGAGACTGAAAACACAGCTATAAACAAATGTGTGAATAAGATTATTTCCAATAGTTAAATTTGCCATTAGGAAAACAAGACAGGGTGATATGACAGCATGTGATTGGGCTACTTTATATGAGGTGGTCAAGGAAGGCCTCTGTAAGGATATTCTTGAGGAACAAAGAGCCAGCCCCATGAAGATTTGAAAGAACTTCCTAGCAGAGGACACAGGAAGGTTGTCTCTAAGAGTAGCAAGCTAGGCACTCACTGGCCAGGGAGGCTGGACTCAGGCAATTGGAAGAAGTGGCAGGAATGAGGTTGGAGAAATGGCCAGGTTCATAGCATAAAGTATGCATTTTATTGAAAGTACATTCTATTGAACACTGGGGGATTTTAAACAGGGAAGTGAACAAATATGACTTAGCATGTCTGTATGTAGTATGAGCAAGAGTGCCTGAATAAGACCATGTGGGAGGCTATGAAAATGATGTAGCTGACGGTTTGTTGGCTTGGCCAAGGGTGGAACCTTGAGATTGATGAGACATTGTTCTTATCATGTAATAGGAGAATCATGGACTTAAATCATCTTTTTTTTTCCCCCTTTGGCGGCGATGGGGGATGGGGGTGTGCCAGGATCTACATTGCAGCAATTCACTGGTTCAAGACTTTCTTTTACTTTTGAATTTCAGACCTCAGCACCTTTGAGTTCTCAGATGTCACCTCTTTACTTCATCTGAAATCTCTTATGGGCTGCCAGCCTTTTGCACATAAGAGCCTATGGTGTGTCCTAGGAAGTGTTGCAGTAAGGTTCTAAGTGCTAGAGATGATT